AAAAAAAAAAAAAGAAAAAAAACCGCATACGCTTACCATATTTGTGGAACATGGTATGATGGCTCATAACCCATAATGGTTAAGCCAATGAAAACTCCCGAATTGCATTATCCAGTTTTTAATAATATTCGATATACCATGTACTTGAAAACAACGTACAGTATTTCATCTTTGGCCAAGACTAAATAAGACATCAACTTTTATTTGCTAGAACCTCACTCTCAAACCACAATCACATAGTTCGTATACACAGTAGAAACAATGGCCCAGTTTCGATATATTAAAATTCAGCCTAAAACAATAGACCTCAGCACGAGGCTCCGGGGAATAAACCCTACAAACTCTGTAGTTATTCCCCGGAGCCTCGTTCTGGAGGTCGATTGTCTTAGGCTGAATTTTAATATATCGAAATTGGTCTATTCATGATACAGTGAACCCACCTTAGCACGTGGCCACGTGATCTCCTCCGTGTCTGATTCATGACCGCTGACTGGTATGTGCGGAACAGCGTCTTTGCTGGCTTCTTCCCTGAGACGAGCCAGCTCTGCTTCAGCTGACCTCAAGGCCTGCTGGGATCGAGCTTTTTCCTGAGCCCACTTTTCACGTTCAGCGTTCAGTACAGACTCGACATGCTCCTTTGTCTGACGTGAGTTCTAAAACAATAAATCTTGATGTCACCAATTTTTTGAGTTATTTTATACGCAGATAAATGGAAAAATTATTGAAACACTGTTACCTGTTGGTTTGCTCTCTCTCGTTGCCTGTATTGTGCGATTTGTTCCTCCAGATTAGCTAAAGCGTTCCTCAATTCCTTTTTCTCTTCGTTCAACTTGTTCACAAATTCTGCCAGCTCTGTGTTTTGACGAACGATCCTCTCTTGTGCAGCAGCTTTGATCGGCGACAGAGGTACGGTCTGACCGTCCTAACAAAAATAACAAGTGTTTGGTTGCTATGCTTAGAAGCTTAAAGATTAAAGTTTCGTAGTTTCAAGTATATTTAATTCGTTTGTTTGTCCGTTGATTCGTTCATTCGTCCGTCCGCCCATCCGCTCGCTCGTCTGAGTACTTGTTCGTTTGTTCATTCATTCGTTCGTTCGTCCGTCCGTCCGTCCGTTCGTTCGTCTGATTGCTTGTTCATTCGTTCGCTCGTTCGTTCGTTCGTTCGTTCGTTCGTTCGTTCGTTCGTTCGTTCGTTCGTTCGTTCGTTCGTTCGTTCGTTCGTTCGTTCGTTCGTTCGTTCGTTCGTTCGCTCGCTCGTTCGCTCGCTCGTTCGTTCGTTCGTTCGTTCGCTCGCTCGTTCGTTCGTTTGTCCGTCCTTTCGTTCGTTCGCTCATTCGTTTTTTCGTTAGATCGGTCGTTCAGCCATCGAACTTAGTTGTTTTGTTCGGTCAAGACACACAAAAACGGTCAAATATAGTGAAAGCCAGAAGCATTAAAATGCTGCCAACTAGGCTACATTGTCGTGACTCAGCTTCAAGATTAAGACAAAATTAATCGATCTTACATCTATATGCACAGTGAGTGTCGCTCTGATTTGCTCCAGTTCTTTCAACAGGTTTCCAAGTGACATTTTAACTTCTTCCAACTCTTTGTTTCCCCTAGACAAAGAAATAAAATGTTTACTACAACAAACCAGAAACGACAAGCTACATGGAAATGACTCACTTCCGGTGACTTTCGGTAAGACGTCAGTTTCTTTCGAAGATTACGAGAAAATTATATATTTTAACAACGGAAGCTCTCCAAAAATTATTTAGTCTCCTTAAAAGAACGCAAAGATTCCTGGAGATGTCGAGAATTCTTCGACAACTGAGAATATCTCCGGAAACTTTCGGAAGTTATTCGTTCTCTGATATCTTTGGTAGAATTGGATTTGTTTATCGATCTCACGCGGGAGTTTTGAAGTGGAGAAATATCTATTTACAGTGTTACCTGGTTGCAGCAGAGTCCACAGAATTCTGATGTTTGTTGATCAACACCTGGTGTTGCTGCCTCATGGACTCCAGTTGTTGTTGATGAAGGAGCAGCCTCATACGGAGTGGGTACATTGATGCCTCCTACGGTAGCATTAACAGATAAAGGAGCTCATTCATGGCATTTTGAGTTGTTTGTGCCATGTACAAAATTAACTCTTTATTTACATGACAGCATTGTAACAAATCTGAAAATAGCTGTTTACTAAGATATAAAAACACCAAATAGATAATAATTAACCATAGAGGAGCAAGGATGGAGAAGATTAATACGGATTGCAAACGTCAAACTTGAAAAGTTTAGGCTAACCGTTAGCACAAAACCATGACGTACNACTTAATAACAAGGAAGCGTTTTGGAAATTGTAAATTTTAGAGGTTTACAACCTAGATAGTTGTATCCTTTACCAATCGTGAAAATTGGACAACATTCGGTTGAAACCCAACGGAGAAATCCTATACGAGATATCGGTGATCCGTCTATTTGGTCATTTTGGCCTCCGAGAGCCCAAATTAGCCCTGTGATCAAGGGTGGGGGGCGGGAAGGGGAATACCCCAATACACATACACTGGTCATAGAAATGTTAACCAAGTATAAGCACAGGTGTCCCAAACTCACGGATTCGAGGAATCGATCAAATATTAGAGATTTATGTACGCGTATCGAGTGAGATGTGACTGCCTTAAGGTCATTCCCCAGTATTGCATTGCGCATCCTTACTGCGCGTAATTTATGGCGGCATTAGCGCGCGCTCGTGCACGCGCATATTGAAAACTTGACGGATTTGACTTGATATTGAGCTCTGTCAGTTGAAAAATGGCTCTAGCTCACCAACGAGCACGGGCACCCCAATTTTTATCCCAGTCATTGTGATCAACTAATCATAAGCTTTGCGTGAAAAAAGACTGATCTAATTTCTGATGCTGAAAATTGAATAAATAAGAAAGTAGCAGATACACTGTGGTCTTTTCTACTTTGCAGTCGATAACCACGTCAAGAAATTTGGTTTAAATTTTTAATCGAGGATTTAGCTTCTGTCTGAATCAAACTTAAAATGTTTATTTGTGTCCGACACAATGTATTGACTGTAGTTTAATGCGTANCTACTTTGCAGTCGATAACCACGTCAAGAAATTTGGTTTAAATTTTTAATCGAGGATTTAGCTTTCTGTCTGAATCAAACTTAAAATGTTTATTTGTGTCCGACACAATGTATTGACTGTGGTTTAATGCGTATTCTTATGAGTCTGGGCTCACAAAGATTTTACAATTACTGGGAGTGCGTTCTTGTAGTAAGCATTAAATAATGCAAAAATGGGACATTTTCAATGCCTCACCGCTCCTTAATGAGCATGGGCACCCCCCCTTTTTTATTTCAAAATTGAAGTTATCATATGACAAATATTCAGTGGACAAAGTTTGAACAAAAATCTATTGCAACTTTTATTTCAGAGGAATTACCCTTAAAGGCATAACAAATCCAAGTCTACTACGCAGCGAATGCTTTAAAAAAAAAAAAAGATATAGCCTTTCGTTGCTCACATACCTTTTCAGACTGCTTCACAGCTTGATTATCGAGGTCTTGTTGAAGCTTGCCTAATTTTGTGTCCCTGTCGGTTAATTCTCTGTTCAGAGCGACGTTCTTTTCTCTTTCGTTCCCAAGCCTATGTTCTAGCTGAGCTCGTTTCTTTGTCTCGCTCTCCAGCTCGCTCTGTAGCTGGCGTTCTCTTTCCTTGTGACTCATGGCGGTGGCTTGTTGAACGTCTCGTTCGTTCTGCAGTCTTCTCGCGCGGACTCGTTCTTCTTCTAACGTGCTCGTCAGTTCAACTAACTGTTTCTACAAAAGACAAAGACGACGAGATTTACAACTTGAAATCATCATTCCAAAACTCTCCGCATTTGCTATTTATTAATACAGATATGACAAGGTTTTCAAACTGAGAATTATCTAACGTACAAAAGATATTTAACTGTCTTATTTTTGTAACATGTAATTTATTCTTTTTCTTATATATTTCTTGCATACACGTTCGTCTTTTGATCGAGCTCAGGCGCAACGTGTTTATATAAAGTGTTGATTGATTGATTGATTGATTGATTATTTCGATGCCATCTACGTTTTACGAAAAGCTCATAATCGGGTTATTTTTAGAAACGTTCTTAAAATAACCCGATATCCACTCTAACTACACTTCTAGTGAATAAGGTGGCTTGTCACACAAATGCGTGACAGCGTGACTACCCAATGTTCAGTACCTGTACAACATCCAGAGCTGCCTTCAGCTGCTTCGCCACTATCTTCTCTGTCTTGGCTGACTCGTCGTTCTTGTCCTTTTCTGTTTCCAGCGACACTTCCAGGAAAGCGCTACGGTTCTTTTCATCTTCTAGAGAAGTGCTGAGTTCCACGGAGCGATCTCTCGCAGCATTCAAAGCCGCTTGCAGCTCTAGAAGATTGGGAGAAAATATACAGCATCAGTTTATTAGCCAAGCGTCAAGTTTTTCAAACCGAACAGCTGGCCTGTGCAGAGTTGTCCAATTTCATCTACATATATTTTCTTCTTCAGTATCCATCTAATTTCAAGCAGACGGTTTAGGAGAACAAGAAAACAATCAGCCAGAGGATATCGCCTTGACCTGCCTTCGAATTCTCAAAGCTAACATGAAAGGAAAGTGTCGCAACAAGAAGGGAGAATTTCTACTTGGAATATAAAAACTTCAGGTAACATTTCTCTTATTGTCTTACCTTTATTCACGTTTCTAAGTTGATCTGCTCGTTCTTTTGCGTGTTTTAGCGCCTCTGTTTGTCGTCTTTCGTTCGTCAACGCAAGCTGCATATGTTCTGCTCGAGCTTTCTCGTCTCTCAGGGCTGCGGACAATTCCTCGATTGTTTCACGATCTCTTTCTGCGGAAGAGAACAATAACACAGATGTTAAATTCTGGAGTTGATTTAGGAAAAGGAATGCTGTAAACTTGTCCACAGGCTTGTTTATGGAGCTGTACTGTAGTGAGTGTCTCGTAATCTGGTGGTCCCATGCTCAAACCATCTATCCTACCACTATTAAAATATATGTTGTTCTCGCTAGTTCGAAGTTTAACGTCTCGGGCGCGCTGGCCACAGGGTCAGCCAACTGGTTATCTTCTGTAAGTTGGGATTGTTAGCTAGACTATGTTCACTTGAAATATTTGTTTCATGAGCTGATGCAATTTCGTATTTCAACGAGTATGCTGTTTGTTCCTAAGCGCCACAAGGGAAAATAGCATTTACCATCATAATCAGGTTAGACCGGTTTTTTTAGAGGGCGATCAGTGACAAGTGAAAATAGCGTAGTGGAAGCCTCGAATCGCCGACGAAGAAAAACAGTTCTCTGATGTTAACTGAGTATCACACCAAGCTAAAAAGAGAAAATGCTGGAACAAAAACAAAACACAAAGATCTTTTTACCCAAGGCCTCTCCTTGCAGTGCTTTCTCGGTCTCCAACTCAGACTCCAAATTGGACAATGAGATTCTTTCTCTCTCTAACTGCACCTCTAACTCAGCTTTTTCTTGTTTATTGGCTGATAGCTGTCGGCGGAGAGCTTCCATGCTCTCAAGAAGCCGGTTGTTTTCTTGTTTACCACGGTGACGTTCGCTTTCCACAGCATCTTGGTATTTCTTCGTGTTGGCTCGTTCAAGTTCCAACGCTTGAGTCTGGTTCGATAAACGAACTTTTTCTGCTTCAAGACTTGTTCTGAAGAATGATAAAAAAAAAAAAGAAAAAATAGTAATAAATAAGCCGACTCACGGTATTTTCAGTTAGTTTAACCACTAACAAAATTACCTTTAAATTGAAGGAAACCCGAATATAGTAGTTTACAAAGAGATAGTAATAAACCATAAAGGAACAAGGATGGTTAAGGATGGAGAAGATTAACACGGATCACAAACGACGAACTTGAAAAACTAAGGCTAACTTTTTATAGCTCTTCACGAAAATTTAGAAAAAACGAAAAAGAAAGAACGAACTAAAATATATTAATTTTGTTTAGCGACGATTCACATTCAGTGATTCAAAACTCAATTCCAAAATCAGAAAAAAACGCCCCAAATGACCACATAATCATGCACTGAAAAATAAATTTGTGGTAGCTGAAATAATATGCGTTTTCAAATTGTCTTACCTGAGGGACATGACCTGCACTCTTTCTTTCTCAAGGGCGGCGCCCAGATCTGTGATCCGGCTTTTCTCTTTCGCCAAAGCCTCCTTCAAGTCTGCCACCAGAGTGCGCTCTCTCTTTAGCGAGTTTTTGAGATCGTTTTGCACGTGTTCAGCCTGCTGACCTTTAACTAACACTAAATCACATCAGGAGAGAGAAAATTGTGAATTCAGCTGTAGCCTACAGTACTGTACTGAACTACTGCTGAAGAATTTCACGATGATGCATTCAGGGTTCATAGCTCTTCAGCAAAAACCCGACATTTTTCACGAGCGGATTTTTCAAAAAAAGATTTGAGAGATTTTGCTTCCCTTTTCTCATCTCCTCCGTAGATCACAAGTATTTCTAAAAAACTTTCCAACCAGATTTTTGAATTCGGTTATATTTGTGTCTGGGAGATTTCTTTCCTTCTTTACCTCACTTAAAATCAAGCAAACTAGCAACTTTGCACCTAGTGAATACCATAGACTAAACTAATTATCTGATGATATTATCTTACACTGTGTTCTGAAATCTCTCTCTCGTTTGGTAGCTTCTTCAAGCTGTCCGCGCAACTGCTCAACAAGATCTTGCTTCTAACAAAAGAAAAAAGAAAACTATTAACCTAGCGCGAATAAACACAAACAATTTTAAAGAATTCGCTTTGGCTCTCCTCAGTTATAACGGAAACCGAAGCAAACAAAATTAGTAGAATTCTACTTGTACACTGATGCAAACGTTGCAATCTGATTGGCTGAGTTACCGGTATACTATCAGCCATTAGAGTACAGACGATAGAGGTCATCCATATGTTGGAAACGTTTTCTAGCTTCTTTAGTGTTTCGAATGATTTAGAAATATTACTAGATAATTACTTTAAAACCTCAAAATGTTTCATGACACACAGACGCAAATTTCAAATCAGGATAACAATTCAATCCGCACGAGTTTGTTAAAGCATAAAGTTTATTACTACGCTGAGAAATGATTGCATGGAATATTTGGAGGAAATTTAGTTAGAATTCTACTAAAACAATTAGATTATTCGCTCTTGATTTCTAAGAGGTGATAGTTGATGAGGCCGAAGACCGAATCAAGTATCACCTCCTAAAAATCGAGAGCGAATAATCTAATTATTAATTAGAACTACCACTTACGTAATTATAATTGAGCTCATCTTACCGTCAATAAATTCGAAAAATCGTGAAATACCATTGAATACAAAAAATACACCCTACTGCAAAAGACTTATGAAGATGAAGAAGCTTCAAACTAGTTCAGACAGAGCGAAACTGGACGCTTGTATCGACAAATGCTACGCCAGTCTTACCTGATCGTTCAGCGGTTTCATCGTGGACATCTTTCGCAGTTCTTGGATCTCAGCCAGCAAAGAATCACGGTCTTTTTTACGAAGCTGTTCTGTAACACGACTTGTGAGTTCATCCTAGGAAACGCAACAGCAATGGTAACGAAAAAAAAATATACATACCGGCCGCAAATTTTTTCTTCTTTATTCCTTTCTCTCTATGAACTTTAACTGCCAACTTACTATACCTGCGTGTGAATTTGGTCTCGTAGCTGTGCTGCCACAGGGGAGTCATGCCCGTTCGCAAGCTGAGAAGTCCTCAGCTCGGCTACAAGAACATCTCGGTCTTTCTCGAACACCTGTAAGGGTACAAAAGACAATGGTAAACTAGTCAACACGAGTGACATAAACAAGCAAGCCTTTTACAGTCTATTGCCATCCAAGATGGCCGCTTATTCGAGCGATCAAATATGGGGTGGAGGGAAGAAGAAAGTCATGAGGAAGAAACAAAGAAACAAAGAAACAAAGAAGAAACAACAAACAAAGAAACAAAGAAGAAACAACAAACAAACAAACAACAACAAATATATACTTACCGTCTTCACGGCGTTAATCAAATCTGTCCGCCAGTCTGCCTCCTCCTGAAGTTTGGAAGGCTGGTAAACAAGTTATTACAGAATTAGAATCCGAGACAAGTAAATTTGAAGAAAATATTGATGATTATGTCAAAGAAAACCTCGTTACAAACAATTTTATAAAAGGTTTTGACAAATCTCTTGTTTTATTCACATAGTTTATGTTTCGTCAATGAAGAACTTTCTGACACAATGTCTGATAAAAACCTCCCGATAGCGTTAGAAAATATTCGAAAATATTCATGTCATCTCTTGAAGTTGTCACATGGAATTCTGTTGTATTCGAAACAACTCAAGTGATTGTCTAATGTCGATCTTTCCCAGTTTAATTACTGCACTCAAATTCAATTTATTTCTTTCCGAAACAAAAAGAGCGCACTTCACCAACTAAATCATCATTGATTATCATAAGATCTGAAGTCAAGAAAGTAAATAAACGCTTGATGGTGCCTTAATGAAGCGGGTATACCATTTCTTTCTTTTTTTGTAATCAAAAGACAACTCCTCTCACCGTTGATGCCTTTCGAGTTTGCGCTACGAGATTCTTCAGTGATTGCACAGCTTCAAGCAATGCTTGCTTCTCCGCTGACCATGACGACTGAAGAGTCGCTACATCTGGGCTTGCAAGTGAGCGGTCCTGAGGTGGCGTGGACACGGCACTGACGAGTGATTGGATTGTCTCGGCCTCGGTATGAAGATTGTTGAGAAGGCCCTGGTGAGGAGAAAGAATATAACTTCCCATTTAAGCGCCTCTTAGCGACTCTACCGAGAAAATCCTGAAAACGTTAACCGTGGTGGCGGCAACTGACTAAAAACAGTCACAAGGACCAATCACAACAAACATAGACACACAAACGGCCAATCAGAACTCGAGCAGGTTCACGTGATCAAAGCCAAGCACGAAAAAAACGCGCGTAACCCAGTCGCTATCGGTTCATTGTATCTGATTGGTTACGTAGGTGGCGTGAGATTTTTTCAACCAATCACGGAATTAAGCAAAGCAAAAGGATTTGTAATGATAAGCGATGAAAGAATTTGAAATAACTCCAGATTTCGACGGTCGGTTGAAATCCTCTCTATTCAATACCATTTATGGCAACTGAAGAAATCCTTTGAACCTCTTTGTCCTTACTATTACGCGATCTAACGTTCACAATCTGAACATGTGTTTTCTTGAAAAATATTCTCTCTTACCTCGATTGTATTTTGAGATTTCAGAGGTGAGGTAGCCGCTGACTTGACGCGAGTCTGCCGTACCAGCTGACCAACAAGTTCATTGTCTAGCCGTTCGTTCTCATCCAGCGCCGAGTTAAGGCGCATGCGCATCTCTGGAGATGCAGAGTCAATACCTAATAAGGTTGAAACAAAAGCATTGGGACAATGGCGTGTGAAATGTGTCATTTTAACAAATTGACGTCAGTTTCTCATACGTCTGTTCTGTTATTGATCATGAATTTCGTCATAACATTGTCAAAATAGCTGTGGATCCACGAGGTGATAGCCGAATGGATCACTTTGACAATGTTGTGACGAAATTCATTGTCAATAGCGGGACAGACGCATGAAAAACTGACGTCAATTTGTTTTTTACGATAACAAATTGCCAAATTGTCCGCTTTCGCTCGTTGACGCATCAACGACATACATGTAAATTATAAATTCATGAGTCTGTCCGCTTATTGACGATGAAAATTAACCAATGAGCGCGCCAGAATCTCTGCAGTTATCGTTAAGGTCTAGATTCTTCTGAAGAATCTAGAAGTGTAGCAGCTGTTACTGGTTAAGGACATTTGTTTCTGTTGTTTGTTCTATTGTTCTCTCAAAGGGAATCAAGCCATTCATGTAAGACCATACGAGAGCGGATACCCGACCTGAAGAAACTCAACCCTCAGTATTTATCTATAACGATCAAATTGTTTCGTCACTACCAACAACTAGGTAACTTTTACAGAACTTTAATGGTACACGTACATCGAGACGATATCTCCATTTAATGATTTTCTTCATTCTTATCACGTGTATGCTTCGCAATGTTTTGAAATTGTAAAGAGATTTTGTATTTTGATCACACACCTGATATAGTCATCAGTCGTTGTATCTCTCGCTGATGGTCCTGTCGCATCCTGTTGACCTGGTCATTGTGTGTTGTGTGTAGTTCTTGTCGCAGATTGTTCAACTTCGCCATGTTTTCCATCTCTAACTCGGTCTTCACTTGCTGCACATCTCTCTGGCGTCTCTGCTCTTCGTTCTCTTTCACGGCAACCAGTTGATTCTCGTATTGCCGTTTGAGGTTTTCCTCTACGCTTTTTAGTTTCTAAAAAAGATGAAGAAATATGAAAGTCACCACGATTGTATGCAAATACCGAACCAAGAGGCAGTATTTATTTGTGTGAGGAGGAGGTTTCGACGATCAACAACAAAAATCACAACATTTTCTCGGGTTACGACTTTTTTAGTTAATTGCACCCTTAGCAATCAAAACAATTTATTATGAAGCTCGATAATGGGGTAAGATCGTCTGAGGGGCCAATCAGATAAATAGTAAATAAAAAATAATAATTTGTGTGTCAATCAGAATAACAGCAGAATAAATAAAACAAAGAAACCGACGCCGAGCCTCACCTAGAAAAACAACAACAACAACGACAACGACAAACAAAAAGAAAAGTCAAGCCAGGATTGTTTTATCCCTTAAAATAGCTGATCGGAGTCACCGCACTGACTGGATCGGTCCGTATAATGATCAAATGCAATAATTTAACGCTCCCTCTTGTATTCATAACAATTAGAAGCGTTTAAATTGTAAATATGGACTAAACTCACTATTCGCAACCAAAACACTTACTTGCTCAAAAGCAAGCTGTTGAGTTGGACTCAGGGCATCCTCAGCCCCCGTGGGTACCCCCCTCTGAACGTTTTTCATTTCGGCCTTGAGAGTGTTCACTTCATCACGATGAGCCTTTTGTAGGTCAGCGACGGCCGCCACGTGACTGTCCTCCTGGGATTTGAATCTCTCGCGTAATTGGTCCCTTTCTGCTCGAAGCGCAGCCAACTGGCGAGACTCGGCCTGGAGGTTTCTACGAATCTGTTCTTTTTCACGTTCTTTCGTTTTCAAGTCCTCTTGAACTTGATTCCTTTCATGAGTCATTGTTTCCAACTGCAGGAGAAGACAAAACTACAGTGTTCAGACAAAATGGAAAGCAAGATTTAAGGTTTGCCTTAATGAAATAGCACACAGAAATATGAAAAAAAAAACAAAAAAAAACGTAACTTTGTGAGTTAAAAGAATCGCATCCAATGTAATGATAGTATATTAATCATGAACATAGAATTTATGAGATAAATTAGTCCGTTGCAGGAAAAAAAATACTCAGATTTCGAACAATAGCCTTCATTAGATTTATTGTCAAAGACTAGTAAATCTGGAAATGTCTACCATTCAAAAAAAAAACAAAAAAACACAGGTTCATCTTGCGGTAGTTGATATAAGGAAGGTAAACTCAATGCTAAAACAATTTCCTCTTAACCGCAAACTACAGAACTAAAAACGGCCTGGTCTAACTGACTAAGCGGAAAGATTAAACAAACAAGCGAACGAACGAAAAAACCGACAAAAAACTGAGAATGTGACTAAACGCTCTCCAAAAAATCAACAAACTCATTCGCCAGATTATTTTAGTCTATAGAAAGACAAAGACAAATTTTAGGCAGTAAGTATCTACAAATAAAGTTCTCTGTTGGAGTGCGCTTTCTCTCACCTGCCGACTCTTAAATTCCGGTAATTTTGCCTAGACGCCTAAAAAAAAAACTCTCCCTTCAAATAAATCGTTTCGTTTTGCTCAAACTCGTTACGTACACAAAGGAATACCAGCGCGCGCCACTTCAGTAAGCGCGCAAATTCCGCGCGCGCTACTAGGTCACTTCCGGAGTAGAACCTAACCTGTTTGGCGAGAAGAGCCGCGGCCTCAGTTTCTCGCTGTTCTTTTTCAGTCCTTTCTCGGCTCAACTCGTCCTGCAGCACTTTCATTTCTTCTCCTTTCATACCCAACTCCTCGTCCTTTCTTTTGGTTTCCTCCTCTTTAGAAGCAAGTTGGTCTGCCGCCTCTTTCAGCTTTTCCTCATTGGCAAAGTTCAACTGCTCCATCTCCTTTACCTTCCCTTCAAGCTCTTCAATGACCTTCTGCTGTTGAACTAAAGCATCTTGACTACCTTTGAGCGCTTTGTCAAACTCTTCCTTCTCCGCTGTCTCGTTCTTGCTCTCCTGCAAAAGATTTTCTAACTCTTTCATGCGATCTTCGCGTTCATTTATCAAATTTTCTTGCTCCTTCAGTTTGCCATGTTGATCTTCTAGTAGCTTCTGTTGTTCTTCCATCATCTGGCTCATCTCCTCCATTTGCTCGGCCAGATTTTTCAGTTCGTCGTCCTTCTTGTCAAGAGCCTCTTTGAAGGTGTCCAACTGCTCGGCCAGCGCTCGGGACTCTTCGTCTTTCCGATCGTAAGCTTCGCGTTCGTCTCGGAGCATCCGTACTGGTGTCGGAGTTTCGTCGCGTTCTGCTCCATTCTCGTGCTTGGTTCGGTTAAGCTGCTCCTAAAAAGAAAAGAAAGCAACTCAAATGTTAGAATCATGGTAATAAAAGCTGTGCTAGACGATAACACAAGAACAGTGTCGTCAACTCACCCTCAGCGCCGAGATTTGAAGAAAGCTCTCGTTAAGTTGTTTCTGCATAGCTTCTTTTTCTCGCTCCAGGTCCTTTTGCGTCTCCTCACTAGTTTCCAGGTCCTCGTGCAACTTGTCCTTCAACTCCTGCGCTTCCTTGAAAGCTTCCAGGGTCTTGGTCAGTTCATCTTGTAGATCTTTGATCCGTGCTAACAAGTCAATCTCCGATTGAGTTTTCGCGCTTAATTCCTTTTCCAATTCGATGTTACTTAGCTCCAGTTCCTTCAATCGCGTTCCCAGCTCCTCGATAGCAGCTTGCATCTCTTCTTTCGATTGTTCGTCGACGCTGAGTTTGCCCTCCAACTCTTTGCACTTACTAGCCAAGTCTTCCCTTTCGGAGCGAGCCTGTTCTACTAGCTCCATGAGCTTGTTCGCCTCTGGTTCCTGGATGCTTTCATCTAAGGCCTTCTTGTAGTTGTCAACTTGTTGTTCAAGGTCTGTGATTTTTGCTTGCAGTTCTCGCACAGCTTCATCGTCCTGTTTGGAAACTCCGCTTCCAGTCGATTCCTCAACGCCCCACAACCCTTCTCCGTGTATACCTGTCTCCACAGTTTCTACAGTGGTTACCTGATGAAATCATAAAATAGATCATACGAGAAAACAATCATTGAATAAGCCCAGAGTGTCTGCTTCGAAGTTGCTAAGAAACTGGTCACACTATGATGGCGAGTGTTTCAACGAAGATTTGGCAAATGACACTTGTTACCCTACCTGAACAACGGTGTAGTGAAGGCGAGTGTTTACAACAGTTGTCAAGAGCTTTCAAATCTAATTTTTCGTCTCTTATCTTGACTTTCCTTGTTTATTTTTGATTATAATCACCTATTCACTGCTTTTCTCCACAGTGACAAATTACCTTGAGATTTTGTTCGAGCTGAAGATCATAAAATATAGTTTAAGATACCGTGAGAGAAGATATTCTGATTGAACTTAAGTCTCTTATTTATCCTTTAAAGAAAATAACAATAACTATACCTGTATCAAGGGAACGTCCATCTGCAGGGACGCTGCCCTTTGGAGCTTTTGGATTTCTTCTCTATCTCGCTCCTTCTCCTGTTTAAGCTGATTCACAAGCTCAGTCTGCTCCTTTGCCTCGGCTTCCAACACTGGAATCTTCTCCAGATGAATCTGCGCCTTCTGCAGTAGCTCTCGCTTCTTCTCTTTCTCCAGTTCGGCGCTTTCAAGCTTCTCGGCTAGTTCTTCGTTCTGCTCCGTCAGCTCTTTGAGTTGCGCTTTCATCTGTTGCATCTGATCAAACTCCAGCGTGTCTTCTCCCTTTGCCGTGGACAGCTCGATCTTCAGCTCTTCTTTCTCGTCCCAGAGGTGTTGCACCGCGTCCCGGAATTGTTCGATGGCGTCTTTTAGCTTCTCGTTTTCCTCCTGTAGCTCGCTAACGTCGCCATGAAGTTTCTCGACTTCTTTCTTCAATCGGTCGTTTTCCTCAATGACTTCACCCTCGGAGCCAGTCATCTGCGATCGGTTAGCTTCTTTCTCTAAAGAAGCGATCCGTATCACCAGCCCCGTATTCTCTTCCTTAAGCTTATCACAGGCCTCGTTCAGTTCCTTTAATTTGAACTTCAGTTCTTCCGGACCGTCGAGCTCATCAAGTTTCTGTGCCTCCATTTTCGTCAACTTGTCTTCCAGATCTTTTTTCGCGTTCGCTAGATGCTCCACCGCGGACTTCAACGTTTCATTCTCCTCTAGGAGCTCGTCACCAGATTCTTTCAGAGCTTCAAGTTCCTCAACCAGTTCGTCTCTTGCCTCCCTTAATTTGTTCACCTCCCTCTTGAGTCCTTCTTCATCGAAATTCTTATCAACCACTTCCTGTGCCAAACGAAGTCTCGCTTCCTCTTGTAGAGCTTCTAGTTCAGAAACAAGCACTTTTTTGGCTTCCTCGAGTTGCTGCTCACGTGATCTGCCTTCTTGTATCTCTTTCTCGGCGGCCTCGACTTTCGCTTTCAAGTCTTCGTTTTCCTTTCCCATTTCCTCACATTTCTCGGTCAGTTCTTCCTTCTCCTTCTGCAAGGCGTCATTATTTGTTTGCTCCTGCTGTAACCGGTCGTTTTCGGCTGTCATTTCCTCCATTTGCTCGTTAGCTTTGTTCAGCTCATTTGCGAGCCTTTCCTTCTCTTCAAGTTCCTCTTTCAGTCTTGCCATCAATTCCTCCTGGGCTGCCATGACTTGTCCGAGTTCCTCGTTTCGTTGGGATGTGACATCGAGAAGCTCCTTCTGGGCGTTGCGAGCTTGATTCCACTGCAAACAGACACAGGTGGAAAGATTTATAAGCGAGATAAAGTTAGAAGAAACATGCACCAGATCGATGTCTTTGTACGGTAATGATCGCACTGGTAGCATCACTGTCTTTAATAAAGTATAACAATTACAACATTTATCATGAATACCTGTTTTGTCATCATAGCGACAACTTCGAGCATTTTTTGGGCCGCAGATCTCAACCTGACCCCCGAGTCTGAAAAACAAACAGTCATTGAGTTACTTGCTCAATTGAAGGTAAAACTAGTTTTCTTGTTTGGTTATTATTAACGGAGCCCGCTCAGTCTCTATGAGCTAGTGTTGACATTTATGAGAACTAAGGAAAAATGAGGTGATAATGACAAATTGAAAACAATTTGAGAGCGTCTCGATTGAACACGATTCATTAAAGTAAATGGCCTTTCCTTGGCCCAAAAGATTCTGTTTGTTGCCTCTGGAAAGACGAAAAAAGAAGCCCTCATTGGAAGAGCAAAGGTAAAAACAGCTTAGATTTAGGGTCGACATCACAGAACCACGGACTGTGTATTCCTAATTTAAAACGATCCTTCTCCTTTAAAATAACTTCGTTCTTGAACAGCACCTCTGTCTGATTGCCTCCCTAGATCCAAACTGAATTCTAAAAGTTCAGAATTTCTCTTGGTAAGTAGAATAAAACTGTGGTCCCCATTCCATTCCGTGACAGTTTTGAATCGTACCTATAATAAGTTCCTCGGCTTGATCATCCAAGCTCGGGCCCTGGAACATAGTGTCCGTCTGCCGCTGAGACAGTTCCAGTCCTTCATCACTAAGCAGTGACAAGTCGGTCTTGCTTGTCAGCGTTGCATCACTCGACTCGGAAAGGTCAGCGGCAGCAGCACCTATAATCAATGTACATGAGCTATTGATCGTTGTACAAATCAATATTTAATCAATTCTAAACACTTCCACATCAACTGCGGCTTCATTCTAAGTTCATTAGCGTTACTATGGCTTTCTGTACATTCATTTCAACAGCATCTAGGAATATTTAATTGCAGGTAAATGGCTTTATACCTTAAGTTCTATTTTTCATCTCTCTCCGTTTAATCCTGAAAAAAACCAAATTAAATATTCTGGCCAAATATAACTCAAGAGTTCGCAACGCAAGAGTTCCGCACCCTTTTTTTTAGGTTACCGTGTACCTTCAGGGAAGTCTCTAAACCCACGGATGTAGCGCCTCGCGGCCACATCATCGATACCCTAACCCACATCAAATTAAAGCATATAGGTCTGGCTATTCAAAACTTTAATAAGTTTTCTGAAAAATGAATTATCGAATTCTCCGCGAAGGTTAAACTGGAAGGAACAAATCATCTCTCCTTTTCAAAGTTCCAACTCTTCAATTAGCTATCAATCAATAAGGGACTGTTATTTCCGGTAAAAAACCGCAGTGTCAATTTTCTCGGTGAGTATTTACTCTTTTTTATCTGTCTTGTTTTGGCTGAAAGCTCATACAAAGTTTATTTTTTCGAAAAAAAAAAAAAAAACCCCGGAAATTAGAACATGTTTAACTCTGAAGGTACAAGGTAACCTAAACGAGCTAAATACATTAACAGCAGGCCCCCATAGCTGTTGAATATCTGTTTTGTAATCCGTTAAACAGATTTTAATCAGTACATAGCTCTGCACCAATAGCGTACCTGTATCTAACGTTGTGATATTCAGCAACGATAATGTATCCTAACTCTTTGCAACATGTCTAAGACAGGCCTTTCATAAGGCACAAAGTCGTTAACACGAACTGCGTGCCTATGCTTGAAGTTCAAGCACTTAAACAATTTACCACTAAGGTTCTCTCACCTCCTGCTGGCGTAGCGAAGTTTAATGTGGGCGCACTGGGCCCTGCGGCAGGTGTTGAGGTCACTAATCCAGGAGGAATCGACCCCTCGGGCCGACGAACTGAGTCCGTTGGTAACCGGGACTCGTGCAACGTCCCCGATTCCAATTCCTGTATGGGCCATTGTGTAAGCTGTTCCTCGTTTTGGCTCGTCTCTTGTATGAGGTCTTCAAGCTGTTTATTGATCGTTTCTTCTGTAGAGGCCGCTTGTTTCACGACGTCTGAAAGGAGTTTTAGAAGGCGTTCGTTGGCTCGTTGCAGCGCATTTCTGTCGAGAAAGAAACGAAACAATACATACATAAAGCCAAAACCCATGTTACTGTTATGTCTATATCAGATTGCTCCGGTCTTGCCTCGTAGCTCAGTTGGTCGAGCAACGTTGATCTAGTCCCGATTTCGTAGCTGCGAACACCACCAAAATCAAAATAACTTTTTCTTTGCCTCCAGCGGTCTCATTTTCTTAACTGAGCTAACATTCGAGGTCCTGTTGTTCAGGGCCAGAAGATTTATGGTTTGATTTCAGCTCTTAAATCTATTGCAGAGCTCATTGGCTGATTTGCAATTCATCGCCCAAATAGAATATGGTGTTACAAGTTCTCTTAGAAGATAATGCACGCTTGAGGTCCACAAAAATTGCTAGTGGGCGCACGAGTGGAACAGGAGTGTGCAACCGTTTTCCAGACCTCAAAAGTGCATTAGTTTCTAGGAAAACATAGGAACATCATCTTCTATTTTGTTTAAAATATAGCATGAAAAAGCGAAATTATTTACGTCTGAGAAGGGGCGGTGATTGAGATGGAAACACAAGATCCGGGACCTACGTGCAATAACGGGTATACAGTTGCTATATTCTAAATAAGATTACAAAGTTCCCCCACCTCTCTGCCGCCAAACGTTCCAGGTCCGAGCGGAGCATAGTAGCCAGGTTATCCTCCTCTTGATGTTCCCTGTCACGCCGAGTCAAAATCAAGTTGTAATTATCTGACTGGCGCTGGAGATCATTTTGAAGACGAGCTTGCTCAGCTTCCATCTACAAGGTAGAAGAATAAAAATTAATTTACGCGATGCTTATTTGCCTGCAATGGAAAAGGAAATTTAGATAAATTAAGCTTACTTTCTGTCGCTTCGGGTTCTCGCGAAACCACGGTTCGGGCTATTGTAAACAAGTTTCAGCGCATAAACAGAGAGAAATGAACAGCGAACGAGAAGCGAAGGTCTGATTAAGGCTTACCATAGCGCTCTTCCGGCAAAGTTAAAATTCAATAGGGCCACAACAAACAGTTAGTTAGCCAGCCAAGCTAAGTTTGGTTTTGAGTTCAAAAAACTCCATTGGTAATTTGATCATTAAACTCGCAAAGCATTCAACAACCAATCAGAGCGAACAAATGTGCCCTCTCGACCAATCAGGTACAAAACCAATAACACGTGACTTAGCTTTCAAATATTCTTCTGCACTTGCCCCCATTGCTCCCTATTGCACATTTTGCTTGAAGTTCTTCTTGGTATATTGTGTTTTTTGCAAGCCTTGAGATTGGCTTTTTATTCGCTTTGGTTTCAGTTTTACCAGCATCATGAAAAAAAAAAAAGAAGGAAAAGCACTCTCTTACGGAATAACGTTTAATTATAGCCCTTAGAAAAAGATATGTTTCGTCTTTGAGCTTACTACCTCCGAAAAAGCGTTAATTAGCGATTCAGATACACACCTCTTTCAATAGCGACTGCTTCTCTTGAAGCTTGTTCACCAGGTTTTCATTTTCGTCCTGAAAATATTCGTGAAGATAGAACAGTTACATGCTCATCAACATAACAGTAACAAAAAGAAAAACAAACAAAGCCTAACAGGAGATGTTCGATCGATCACCGCGTCAGCGAAACGCCATAGAACATAGCTAAACCGATTTCATTTTATGTGATACAAGGATTATCAGGTCGCAAAAGATATGCGGGCACATTTCAACGGTGTTCAACAATTAGCTGAATTTGGTTTTTGTAAGACGGCGAGAAATTCCATGCAAGGTCTCCGTTTGTATTACCTTCAGCTCTGGCAGTTAACAAAAGCCTTAAACATCAAAAAAAAAAAAAAAATCAATAATTGATAATTGTTACAAAGTGGATTAAGGCCACGTAATATGGGGAGGCATTTTTTTTTTTTCAACTTTCGATGCAACGCTGTTGCATTGCAAATTAAAAAGAGCTTATTGCCACCCGTGTTACAATTAGCGGCAGCAGGTCGTACGGATATTAACTCCTGTCTTCTTCGAGCAACATGTTGCCGCAACTTGCATCGCTATTAAACATGCAGTGTAATTGCAATGAATTACAATGCAATGTTGCACGAATAGGAGGAAATATAAGTTGCCCGTATCACTCCGCCTTTTGCCGCAAATCACGTAGATTACGTTAAGATTTTGGTGAAAGGTGACGCTGTCGATTGAAACGCTGAACTTCGATTAAACAATCGGATCTAAGAATCGGAAGCACTCGGGTCTTATACGAGGATTTACTGAGAACACGTTTCTTCAAGCTTGCGGGTAAAGCAAAAGCTAGAAACACAATTACGCACCTTCGTTCTTTCGATTTCAGCCACGAATTCCTTCTCCTGACTTTTCACGAATTCCTGCAATTTCTCCATCTCTTGCCGGAACTGGCTCTCCAGTTCTTCCAGACTCTTGGCCTGTTGGGTTTCAATCATTGCAGCTTTCTCTTCCGCGGCGGCCAGATCGGATTTGACACGTTCCAACTCCTATCAGTATTAGGGGCAAACAAAGTGAATAACAGGCACAGCATAGGATCGTACTGTTCAGATAGACCAGAGAGACAGTCACGCAAGATAGTGTTA